TACCTGCGTGTCTGACTACCAGAATGGGTAAAAATAAAGTGACAGGTGGCTCTCCTGTTGGCTCAGGTGTAGAGCACGTGACAGTCATGGTCTGCTAGCGAATGTGTCAAGGGCTTCAAAGGTCTCAAAAACTGGCAGATTCTACTAAGGACAAACAGAAGCTATATATAGTCTTTTTTTTTTTTTTTTTTAAAGAAAGAAAGAAACACAGAGTCAGGCCAAGCTCTAAAGTTACTTGTTTCGAAGTTCTGGTCCAAGGTCAAGGACCCGTGTGTGGTGATGGATGTGCTGCAGTGGTTCAGCAGTGCAGGAGATTCCTGCCCATCCCTTACAGATCTCCCGGGGTTCAGTGCCTGGGGCTCCATCTTGGTGACCTTGTTTAACCCCAGTCAGCCTCCAAACACAGTCAGATTAAGTTTCTGTCCCCTTAATACCTCAGTGGGAATTAGAGTCCAGCAAGAGCTTTAGAGGGGGCAAAACCTCCAAATTATAGAATGCCCATGCCATATAATTCAGCAGTCTTAGTCTCATGCATCGTTTACTCAGAAATTGTATTCCTACTTTTATTCTTAAAAGCCCCAAACTAAAGACAAGAATAATAAGGGGGATCTTACCCCCACACACACACCAAATTACAGACTTGCAAAGTTCCATATTTACAGTAGCATATAATTAGCACAGATGGACAAATGCCCAGTGGGACAGAAATGAAGGCTAATGTAACCGATTTGTGTGTCTCTGGAGGCTTGCCTCTGAAATGTCTCAGCAGACTCATCTTTTTAACACTTGCTCCCCAACTTGTGGCTCATTTTTGAGAGGTCCTGGAAACCAGAAGTTGGGACATGGCTTTGCTGGCAGAAATGGATCACGATGTCCAGCCCTTGGTTCCTGCTGCATGCTATTTCCTGTTCTACCATGATGGGAACAACCTCAGCCACACACCCCCATTACCATCAGCTGAGCTGTTCCCGAAAGCCTAACCCCACTGTGACGAGGGGATCCCCCTGAAACCGTGAGCTAAAGGAAAGAGTTCCTCTCCTCAGCTTTCCAGGATGGGTGTTGTCACAGCGGTTTGAGAGCTGACTGGCCAGGACAGTGCCTCAGTGGGGACCCCGACAGCTGGGAAGAAAGTGACATCTTCCGCTGCATGGAAGGCCCCTTCCTGAGGTAGCTAGTGGTAGATGCTGGCCACATACATAAACTACCTCTTGGCAACACTGGCTCCATCACTGAACAACCTGGCAACTGAAGTGCGCAGCTGCTGTGCCCACCGCCCCCCTTACTAACAGGATATGCACCAAGACCGCAAAGAGGCTCCGCTCTATAGCCACAAACTCACTGCTCCATAGTCTCAGGTAACACCAATTCCTGGAAGAACGTGGCTCACCAGGACCTACATATCCTGTGGATGAGGACGTAACTGACACCCCATTCTCCCACACACATTTTCAGTTTCTTATGAATTTAACCACTTGCAGCTGGCCATGGTGGCACAAGCCTGGAACCCCAACACTTGGGAGGCAGAGACAGGAGGACTGCTGCGACCTAGTCCATCCAGCAAGTCTCAGGTCAGCCAGGGCTGCATAGTGACACCCTGTGTCACACACAGGCACATAAGTGAGTTTCCTGTAGGACCTCTCTGGTCAGGTCATCTTCTGACCTCCACATGCACAAAATGGCCTATGCACGTGCACACATACACACAAAATACATACATGCATACATACAAATACCTCCGGTGTATGAAGGCCAGTAGATGTGTAGTGTTTACAAGACTGTAATAGTTTAGAAAAGTATAAATTGCAAAATAACACTGGCCTGGAAATAAACCAGGCATTAGAAACGCAGTTCCAAGTTTCAGCATCAGGGCCCTGGTGTTTTTAAAAAGCACACCATGAAACCACTTGTCGGTGTCCAGCAACCTGTTGTCTGGGCCTCTCCATCTGCCCAGAGAGGCACCTATGGAAAAGGGGAAGGGGACTGTCTAGATTTGCCTTATTGATAATATTGGTGTTTTCCAATTGCTTACAACTTAAAACAACACATTTGTTCTCTTTAATTTTTTTTTTTTTTTGTCACACGGGCAAGCTTAGGAAACCTGAGCTTTAGCTCATGTCACTCGCATGGGAAGGAGTGCAGAGCAGCTGGGGTTGGGTGGGGGGAGCACATCCCTGCTGTAATCAAAGCTGTTTCTGCTCTGCCAAAAACCCTTGCTAAGGCTTCAGGGGATGTCATTGAATCTCGATTGCACACGCTAATGTCAACCAGAAATGTGAGTTTGACACACTCTTTCGCTGTAAGGAATTTGTAAGTGGTGTTTCTGCGCAGAGGAGGAAAATCACACCTCGGCCTCCGCTCCTGGGAGCTCTGAGTTCAGGTGTTTCAGTTCTTCGTGGCAGAGCTAGGGAAATTTTGGCAGACACTGCCTAGGACTGTCCGTCAGGTCTGAAATCTCTGCTCGGGTTTCCTTGCTGAGGCACAGGTGAGGGGTGACCACCAGGGCAGGGAGAAAGGTCATTGGTGCCTTCTCTCTTGTAAGGCTTCCCTGTTAGCAGACAGGACCCCGTCCCAGCTGCTCTGGACTGTTGTGATTAAAAGTACAGACAGTGTGAAAATAAGATTTCTAAGTGGGAAACTGCATCCTTGGTCCTGAAGCTTTCCCTCTGGTAATTCCCTCAGTTAGAGGAACTGGAGGGCAGGCCATTTGTTTACAGACACTTGATGACAGGATGAGTGGCATTGGTTTTCTTTACCTAGCTCTCGACAGCTGCTCGGCAGCCAAATGAAAGATTAACATGCGCACCACCCAAAGAATACACTTGATCCCTCGAATCAGGCCTCCCCCCGTCAAGCCCTAAGTTAGTTGTCTGGTTAGGTGTGTGCTATGCAAGAGGTTACATTTTCCTTAGGACCACAGCTGAAGTTTTCCTAGGTCTGACAAAACCTTGCACATCCAAGAAAAATGACACGAACGTCTAAACTGCTGTGTTCAGCAAACCGTTTCCCAAAGCTGAGGTGTATTTATTTATTATTTCTAGGTACTTATAATAAAACTTACTAATAAGCCATACCAGATGCTTAACCTCACCTGTTTTGTGTGACAGGTGGGTGTCATATTTTTACCCGATTAATGTTTCTACAATTTGCCTGGTATACCTACACCTTTCTTCCTCTTCTGCATTGAATTCGAAGGTAAACTTAGAGTTTGAAATGTTATGTCAAAGGGTGTTCTGCCTGCCTGCCTGCCTGTGTGTCTGCCTGTGCACCAGGTATGTGCCTGGTGCCCACAGAGGCCAGGAGAATTTCTGGAAGTGGAGTTACTCAGGGTTCGGAGCCACCATGTAGGCGGCTGGGAATTGAACCTGGGTCCTCTGGAAGAGCTCTGAGCCATCTCTGTAACCCCAGAGAAGCCTTCTAAAGTGTGGTGTCCTCTTCTTCATTTTCCATTTCTAGACTGCTCTTAAGTAGGAAAACTAGCATGGCTGTCATTTTTTTTTTTTTTAACTGTTAATGGTTACTTGGTGATGTTCTCTCTTGAAAGAGACCGAGTGTGGGTGGGTTTTCCCAGAACCTTTCCGAATCCACACTCAGAAGTTATTGTACTTGAGTTCCTTCTGCTCGAGTTTGCAGAGCTTAGTTAGTTTGCATGCGTGTGTATGTGTATGTGTATATGTCTGTGTGTTGTATGCACACGAATACACATGTGGAGGCCCAAAGCTCCCAGCAGGTACCTTTGTTGATCCCCCTTTGCTCCATTTATCGAGACGCTGAACTAACTCAGTGTTTGCTAGGCTGGCTAGTCAGTTTGCCCCAGGGAGTCCATCTGCGCTAGGATTACCTGTCCATCTTTTATTTGAGTTCAGGGGATCCAAACTCTGGTCTCCAGAGTTCCCTGACAAGCACTTTATCCATGGGGTCACCCCTTGGCCCCTGGCTTAAGTGCAGCATCTCCTACCCACCAAAAGCTAGATGAGAATGATGACAGTTGCAGCAGTAAGATCTCATTGAGTTAAACACGTTAGTACTGCTAGCCCGTGCTTCCTCGCGCGCATTTGTTACCCAGAACGGGTTGCCTGTCCCGCTCTAGCGTGGGGGTGAAAATACCCACCTGTGTGATAATCTTAAGTCCTTCATGTCTGTTAAGAAATATGTGATTTGTGCCAGCGGGGGCATCAACCCTTGGTCAGAGTTCCATGGTGAGACCCTGTCTCAAAAGAAGTGTGCAGAAATTTTCAGTGCCACATGCTACTTCAGAACAACAACTATCTATTTTGGTGTGTGTTCTAATGCCTACCTCATGCAAAGCGATGCAGGCAAAATACAAGCGTATAAAATAAGTTCATACATTGTATTCTGTGAAGAATCAAGATTCAACCTACACTGTTTTTGTTGCACTAATCGTTTTTTTTTTATAAAACATTTAATTTATAAATTAAAAACCTACCCTTTACTTGTCACAGTACGGCCAATCTATGTTTGTTTATTCTCCGTGATTGTTACAGGCATTTACAGGTGTATTTCTTGCCTAAACCGCAGCACGTGGGATGATTTAGCGTATATTAATTTAGGTAATATTTATACTTTGAGAGAGGCGTAAGTCAGGACATGATTGCGATTGGCACATGAAGGCACAGTCTGTGTGAACTTGGCAGGAAAAGCTTCCCAGAAGAGCATCGGAGGTGGGTTTCAGTGCAGCCTAGGTAGCCTGGGCAGCTTTTGTGACCAGGTCACCCCATGCTAGACCTGGTGAAAGTGTGAGCAGAATGCAAGTAGAGTAGGTTCACGTGGGTAGTCGGTGCTCAGTGGGAGTGGAATATGGGGTGTGTCCTGAGATAGCAGCGTGGAGGGGAGATGGCAGCATGACAGCGTGACACTGTGTGTGTGTGTGTGTGTGTGTGTGCGCGCGCGTGTGTTGGGGGGGTGGCAGTAAAGCCTTGTCATCTGCAACCGCTCACCGAATTGATGTACTTACTGCATTTTCATGGCTTTGTGTCTTTCAGGAGGTTCATGAGTTATTACAGGACTATGAGCTAAAGTATTGCTATGTGGACAGGAATAAACGCACAGGTGAGAGTTGTGCCTCAAGCATGTGGTCTCGTGTTGATTTTGCATGTGTTATGGAACAGAGAAGCGCGCTGTGTTCTCATGCTTGAACTGCCTTCTCCTGGTGTTGGGGATTGAGCTCAGGGCCTTCACGGGGGGTCCAGCAAGCATTCCCACACTGAGCTCACGAGGCCAGCTGTGAACTCCTCGGTGTGAAATCCTGTCAGGGTGACTCACTCGTTACTCGCTGAGGGCAACGTTAGTGTCCCGGACTTTAGCTGGTGAACGTATGCAGTGTAGCTGGAGGCTCTTGATGTTTAACCGTGAACGTTTCGTGTTCTGTGTTAACAGGTATTCTTCGGGGGTGTGGCCTGCTTCCATCTGGTAAGGTCACTGGGTTCTGCGAACACACTGTGTGTATAGCTTGGCCTTTAGCTTGACAAATTAGGAAACTTGCTAAGTTTTTTTCTGAACATTAGTACTAGTTGTGAGCTCAGAACTGCATTCGTTTATGGCATACCATATGGAAATGTTTATGAACTTCTTTGAGGGATAACATACAGCGTGGAGGATGACAAAACCACTGTGTACACACGTACTCCAGTACAAATAGCACTTGAGGGCAGGGGCTATAGCTTGGTGTGGAGCACTTGAGTAAGAAGGACTTGGCTGCCCTAGGGCGGGTGTGTGTGTAGAGTGAGAGCAGGGATTCCGTGGCTTGGAGCTTCCTGGTGTCTGAATTTGGGTGTCCCCATGAGTATTGTCCCAGGAAGGGCCCTAGAGATTGCTTCCTCTCAAGCCTGAGCAGAGGAAGCTGTGGCAAAAGAGAGTGAAAGGTCAGCTTGGACAGGGTCCTCGACTTCAGGGTCCCTGTCCCTCCAGCCTCAGCTCATGGCTTTCTGGGCTCAACAGAACATATCCAGTGTTTAGCAAAATGTGTGTGTGTTTTAGGAAAGAGAGTTAAGCAGTGTTATCTGTCAGGCTGGTTGGACCAGGGAGCCAGAGAACCTGCAGTGGGCATGCCTGTGAGTCAACTGAGGTAGCCCATTGCATGGCTGGGGTTCCTCGACTGTATGAAAAGGAGGAAGTGAGCCGAATGCCAGTTTTTGTTATTTTCTGCTTCCTGACTGTGGATGTTGTGGACAAGCTGCCTCAAGTTCCCGCCACCAGAACTGGCTCCCCTCCCCAAACTGTGAGCCCAAATAAAACTCCCTTTCCTTAGGTTACAGGCTGCCCAGTTTTATGTCAGCATGACACATGCTGTAGTCATCTCAGAGGAGAGAACCTTGAGAAAGAAAATGCCTTCAGAAGACTGGACTGCAGGCAAGCCTGTAGGGCATTTTCTTAGTCAGTGATTGATGGGGGCGGGCCCAGGCTGTTTCCGGTGGTACAGCCTATGCAGGTGGACCTGGGTTTGAAAAGGAGGCAGGCTGAGCAAGCCAGTAATAAGCAGCAGCCCTCGCTGGCCTCCGCCTCAGCTCCTGTCTTCAGGTTCCTGCCCTGAGTTCCTGCCCTGACTTCCTTCAGTGATGGACTACAGTATGGAAGTGTGAGCTAAATAAACCCTTTTCCTCCCATTTTCTTTTTGTCATGGTGTTTCATCACAGCAATAGAAGCCCTAAGACAGAAATTGGCACCAGGATAGTGGGGAGGATTGTGGAAGGACTTGGGAATTTTGGGTGAGAGAAGCCATTGAGTGTTCAAAACTTGGTGAGCGGTTTTGCGGGTCCTTGGAAGACGAGAATGTTAAAAGCAGTGCGGATGATGGTGGCCTGGCTTGTGAAGTTACAGAGGCAAGTTTGAGAATCACTTAAAGACTGTTAGGGCCGTTGCGCATTTGTTATTTTTAATTAAGATTCTGTGGTCCTAGAAGCCAGGGCTGGAGAATCAGTGATGATTGGCAGGAGACCAGAACCATGGAAGTAAATCTTTGCTTTACTAGGACAGTTGATGCTTGCTGGTCAGCTGGGGCTGAGAAATTAGTGATAAAGAGACCAGCATCACTGAGGTGAAATCTTCTGAGCGGTGTTTCCTGAGAGTGCACAGAAGCTGTGTCCCAGAAGTGGCCATGGTTGCCATCCCTAGTTCTGGCAACCAGACTTGGCAGGGTAAAGGTCACCCAGGTGGTACTGGTTTTGAAGGCGTGAAGGAATTCCGGAGAGCCCCTGAGGCTTGGCACCGTGAGAGGCCAGGAGAGCCCACTGGCGAAGGTGCAGCCCCAGTGGCAGCCGAAGGCCCAGAATTGAAGGGGTCGTGCAGAGAAGTTGAGGCTTGGCACCATGAAGAAAGGCTATTGGTGAAAGTGCAGCCTGGTTGCAGTAGGAGACCCAGCATTTTGGAGGTGCCAGTACCATGGGCCAACCACCAAGGACAGCAGTAGGGGAGGAGTGGAGCTGGAGCCCAGAAGACAAGCTATGTGTGCTGCAGAGGGCGGAGCCAGGGAAGTGACAGGGAAGTGACGCAAGCACCTTGGAGGCGCCCAGAAGATCGTGAGTGAATCCCAGATGTTGAACACTGAGTTATTTACACTGTTGATGTTTGGTTTTGCTTTGTTCATGCTGTGACTGTGCCCTGGTTCTTCCCTCTGGAAGTAAGAAAGTATTTATTTTTGCAGGAGCCCCTAGTTGAAAGACTTTAAACTTTTAAAAAAGAGATTTTAGAGTGTTATGGAGACTTTGAGTTTTAAAAGAGGCTGGCTATTTTTTTAAGAGACAACTTCTAAAGTGTTTGAATTTGTAAGGCAGTGGGAGTTTTTAAGTTGGTAAAATGTTTTATACTGTGATGCCTTTTTGTTTGTTAGTCTTTGATTTTTTCGAGACAAGGTTTCTCTGTGTAGCCCTGGCTGTCCTGGAACTTAGAGCAGGCTGTCCTTGAACTCTGCCTTCTGGGTGCTTTGATTAAAGGCGTGTGCCATCACTGCCAGGCTGCCAGGCTGTACTGTGATGTCTTTCTTAATGTGCGATCTTGGCGATGAACAAGAAAGATGTGACTTAACAGTGATATGTTTATGTGTCAGGTTGAGAAGGGGTCAACTGTGCTGGCTAGTTTTATGTCAAGTTGACACAAGCTAAAGTCATCTGAGAGGAGGGAATCTCAGTTGAGAAAATGCTTCCGTAAGATCAGGCTGCAGACAAGCCTGTAGAGCGCTTTCTTAATTAGTGATGGAGAGGGAAGGGCCCAACCTACTGTGGGTGGGGCTACCCCTGGGGTGGTGGCCCTGGGTTCTATAAGAAAGCAGGCTGAGCAAGCCAATAAGCAGCACTACTCCATGGCCTCTGTCAGCGCCTACCTCCAGGTTTCTGCCCTGTTTGAGTCCCTGGCCTGACTTATGACAGTAGTCTTGGCGTTTCTTCATACCAGCAGTAAGTAGCCCTAACTAAGACAGGTGAATTGTCAGGTCATTTTGTCACAACAACAACAAAAAAGTAGCTAGTAAAAACCAATCGCTTTTTTTTTTCCTTTTAAAATAAAAAGGTATTGGAAACCAAGAGTTAATTCTCGAAACAAGGATGACAGGGCTGTTTTTGTTCTTCTGTTGGATGAGTTAGTTGTTGCATTGTCCTTGGCATTTGGAGAGCTTGCACAGCGAAAACCGTGTTGTTTTAAATGTTAGCATCACCCTGAGGTAAGATACTCATAGTCTGAGAGTTACATGGGCACCGAGACCAACTGAGGGAGGTCAGAATTCTCGGCGCTGTGAGACTCTCCCTTTCTCACCCCTTGTGCCTTTGCTCTGAACCACATAGGACTATACCCTGTTTGAATCTGGGCGACTCCACTGCTTGCGAGGCTTGCCCCACTGTGCCCCCTAAGGAGATGAGGCAGTTTGAGAGAGCAGCTCTCTTGTGATTTGTGGATTGCTGTGTGGTATTCTAATTGGAGGCTCTCAGGATTTCTTTAAAAAGTTCTTTTTTTAAATTTTTAATTATACTTTATTTACTTTGTATCCCCCCTCTAGTTCCCTCCCTCCTCCCCTCCCAATCACTCTCTTTCTCCCCCTTCTCCACACACTCCCCTCCCCAAGTCTACTGGTAGGGGAGGGTTTCTTTTTCTTCCTTCTGATTCTAGTCTGTTAGGTCTCATCAGGAGTGGCTGCATTGTCTTCCTCTGTGGCCTGGTAAGGCTGCCCCCCTCCCTCAGGGGGAGGTGATCAAAGAGCAGGCCAATCAGTTCATGTCAGAGGCAGTCCCTGTTCCCATTACTATGGAACCCACCTGGATACCGAACTTCCATGGGCTACATCTGTGCAGGTTATCTCCATGCATGGTCCTTGGTTGGAGTATGAGTCTCAGCAAAGACCCCTGTGCTCAAATTTTTTGGTTCTGTTGCTCTCCTTGTGGAGTTCCTGTCTCCTCCAGGTCTTATTATTTTTTTCCCACTTCTTTCATAAGATTCCCTGCATTCTGCCCAAAGTTTGGCCATAAGTCTCAACATCTGCTTTTATTTGTCAGTGAAAACAGATAAATTCGTATCCCTAAAATGTAATTTTAACAAATATGAACCTGTATATTTCATTGATTTGTAACCCATGTGTCAGATGTTTGAGGCAGCGTTTCCCTGTCTCAACAGTGAAGCCCAGGCTGGCGCTGAAAGTATGCTTCTCCTCTCTCTGCCACATGTGTGAGATCCTAGGCCTGTGTCAACAGCCAGGCTATGTTATGCTTTTATATATACATTTTATTGTTTGATGCTGAAATGGCTTAGGTAGCTTTTTTAAATTGTTTGATTGAGACTGAAGGTTAAAAATCTTTATCCAGGATCAGAATTGTGTTACCTTTTCATTTGATGTTATTTATCAAAGTTGTATGTGGCACTATATACACTCATGGCTCCTTTGAAGCTAATCAGTCAGGATTTATTATCACTCTCTCTTTAAATTCCACAGATTTATTTGTGTGTGTATGTGAGAGAGAGAGAGAGAGAGAGAGAGAGAGAGAGAGAGAGAACGCACACTTGGCCAGAGGGCAGCTGTGGCAGTTAGCTCTGCTCTCCTACCGTCCAGGTCCTGGCAGGAACTCACTCATGAGGGTTGGCATTGCAAAGCCAACAAATCACAGTCTTGATTGATCTTAAATGATATGAAAAAGATGTGGAGAAACTGGTTTACTGCAGGCATCCTGGCATCTTTTACTGTACTTTCAGTTTTTCTGGCCCTTCCTATGAAAGTCTTTTAGGTCTTTCTGGGGGAAAGGATCTTGCAACCTTATTTTAACTTCATGGAGGGTTTTTAGAAAGGCTACGTAAAGCTCTTACATCTGACCTTAAGGAGGTCAGATTTGTATTAGAAAATGCTACCCCAAACAAAATTCCTCAGAATATAGTGGCTCTTATGGTGGAATTCCTAATATAATTACTAAACATTTTATTTGAGGAACTGACCATAAAATTAGTTTAGTGGAGACTGAGCATTAAAAAAAAATAACTAACTTTTTTTTTAAAAAACACAGTAAATAAGAATTGAAAAATCAGAGGATGAAAAAGAAAAATCAGAGGGTGGAGGGATGGCACAGTGGTTAAGAATGCGCTCTGAGCAATCACTCCCAGCACCCACATAACAAGCCAGGCATGGTCTCATGCTGCTGAAAGACCGGCTCTGAGCAGGAGTAGAGAGGGAGACAGTAGCCTGACAGGCTGCAGCCTTGCTGAAGAAACAAGAGCTCTGAAGGGACAAATCCACCTCAAAGGGACTAGGTGGCGAGGGGTAGAGGACACTGACGCCTTCCTCTGGCTACCATGTGCACTCACATGCCTGCCTGCCTACGACTCTGCACGCATACATGTGCAAAACACAGACACACACACACACAACTAGAAAAGCAGTTTCTAAACAAGAACAAAGTCAAGCGTGTATTGCAGGTCAGGTTTGGAGGCAGAGGCAGCTGCGTCTCTGAGTTTCAAGTCTGCTGGTCTGTGCAGTGAGGTTCCGGCCAATAGGAGCTAGATGGTGAGACTCTGTCTCTAAAAGTATGTGTGGGGGAGGGGTCAGGAGGGGACACTGCATACAGTGGGGTACATTTTCCGATAATCCTGCTTCAGAAAAAGATACGTCCTTTTGTATATAGTGAGTCTTGGGCATAAAATGTATTCCTTGCTGTGGGTCACAGGGGGGAAGATGAAACACCGACCTGAGAGCTCTAATTCCCCCCGCTACCTTGCAGCTTTTGTTACCTTACTGAACGGGGAGCAAGCGCAGAGTGCGATCCGGAGGTTCCACCAGTTTTCCTTTCGAGGCAGAGAGTTGAGCGTGCAGCTGCAGCCCACGGATGCCCTGCTGTGCATCACCAACCTGCCCGTCTCCTTCACCTTAGAAGAGTTTGAAGAGCTCGTCCGGGCGTACGGGAATGTCGAGAGGTGCTTTCTGGTTTACAGTGAAGTTACTGGCCACTCCAAAGGCTACGGGTTTGTGGAATACATGAAGAAGGACTTCGCGGCCAAGGCCAGACTGGAGCTGTTGGGCCGGCAGCTGGGCGCGTCGGCGCTGTTTGCACAGTGGATGGATGTTAATCTCTTGGCCTCGGAGCTCATCCATTCCAAGTGCCTTTGTATAGACAAACTCCCCAGTGACTACAGGGATTCAGAAGAGCTCTTGCAACTTTTTTCCAGTGTCCATAAACCTGTGTTCTGCCAGGTATGTCTTTCTAAGAACCGGTTTGAGAGACTTAAAAATGGCTGCGTCCTTAGCTAATCGACGTCTGTAGCTACATCCTGTTAAGCTGCCGTATCCGTGAGACTCTCACAGTGGTGATTTTGATTCTGCTGCAGTTCATAACGAGGACTCTGAGGAAATTTTAAGTCAATTCCCTTCTGTTCGTGGGCCAAACTCCTACCTTCTCATTCTGTCCAGCCATTCATCCATTAGCACATTTCTCTCTCCCAGTCATGTTCGCCACTGTCTCTGGGCCAGCGCCAGGTGTACCAGAAGCGTAGAGAGTAGAGCGCTGTGTCTCAGTGCTTCACAGTGTTGTAGATGGGCATGACGAGAGAACAGATAGTTGCAGATCCTCTCTCAAGAGTGACTTCCTGGAGGATAGAAAACCTGGGTGATGGCTAAGGCGAATGCCTGCTTCTGTGTGCACGGGGTCATGGAGCGTGGGAGTGGCCACACTGGCGAGCACTTCCAAGCTTCCTAATAACTGTACGGAGACACGTGTGTGACACCTCACCCTGTAGCTTTCTGATGACAACAGGCCAGTTCTCTCTTCGTTCCCTTCATTTCCTCCTTTTGCCTCCTCCTTTCACTTCCATGTTTCCTGTCTTTTAAAAAAAAGATTTATCTATTATGCATATGAGTACTCTATCTTTGTGTATATCTGCACACCAGAAGAGGGCCCCGATCTCACTATAGATGGTTGTGAGTTAAAGTGGTTGCTGGGAATCGAATTCCTCAGGACCTCTGGAAAGCAGCCAGTGCTCTTAACCTCTGAGCTATCTCTCCAGCCTCCATGTTTCCTTTCTTAACCCCCCCTCTCACCCAACAGGTGCCAAATTCTTATCTTGTGGTGAACTTTTGGAGTTGGCACATGTTTATGCACAATGGACAGGTGTGTGTTCAAATGGACAGATAAAGGTCTATGTGGTTGTGGTGCCCAGCACGGTGCTGTGTGTGCATACACGGGGGGGGGGGGGCAGCTGTCAGGCAGCGGATTACCCTCAGAATTTGAGTAATACAGTGTGTTGTTAATTGTGATGGAGGATCTCCTGAACTTAGGTCTTCCTAGCTAACTGGAATTGTATGCCTTGTTACCAACTTTTCTACTGGTGACTCCACTGTCCGCTGGTGAGCGCCAGTCTGGTCCCACCGTCTACAGGATTGTTCTTTTCAGATGCTACACGTGAGTGAGCTAGGCATCGGTAGGCGTCTTTCAGAATGTAGTCTGAATGGCCCCCTCCTGCTTTTTCCTTCCATCTTTGCTCCTTTCATCCCAGTAAGGCATTAAAGAAACCATCCAAGACTTGTATAAAATTAGAATATTTTGTGCCAAAACTTTGACCCACCCTTTGCTCAGTTATTCGAAGCAGATTGGTCTATGATGTGCCCATATTACTGACTCCTGAGAGTTATACAGTGCTATCATCCTGTGTCATTTCTTAATTCTCTGAGGCCTTTGGAGCAAGTGTGGGGAGCAGAGCCACTCATCATACCATAGATATGAGTTGCGAACCCACAAACCGGCAGGAATCTTGCTTCACCTTGCCTAACTGTATAGTGGTGGATGCTGTTTGCTGCTGTTCCCCTGAGTGGCTCTTAGTTTATGTTGAAGTGCTTCAAAATAACGGAAACTTAAAAGAGATACAAAATCCACATCCCAGGGCTTCTTAAAGACGCAAGCTTGATTTTCTCGCATCTATCACCTTGTGGTGTAAGCATATTTGTTAAGATCACTCAGATGTGCTTGAATCTTGGAACCATGTGGTGATGTATTCCTTCTTCCCTCTGCTCTTCGGTCGAGTCTGTAGAGCCGGACTTTACTGTCGTCCTGTACACTCCTGCAGGTGGATGACAGAAATAAACCCAGGACCCTGTGCAGCAGCTCAATAGCCCGAAGTAGAAACCGAAGGCTGTGTGCTGCAGGTGACGGAGCAGGAAACCTAGGCCTGAAAGATGCTTGAGCGGATTCCTGGGATTTGCTTAGTATGTTGAAATACAAGATGGCTGGGACTCCTTCTGTCTGTCTGCTTGTGATAACAGCATTTTTCAATGGTGTGTAGTCAGATTATCGGTGTTTCATTATCCATGAATCTGGTGACTTGTTATGAAGACAGTTTTAATGTAATTACTTAACTGTCTTATTAATAATTGTGTATGTATATATATTTCTTAGTAAGTAGGAGACTAATGACTGTTAAATTAGAAAATAAAAAAATTTGGGTTGAAAGTCCTTGACTTCAGGAACAACCGTGTCTAGGGAAGTTGAAGTGTAAAATAATTGTCCCTAGTGCAGACTTGAGGGCTGAGCTGTTGGAGTTTGGAAATGATGACTGTAAACAAATATTCATGAACCAATTTCAGAATCTCTTTTTAATGTGCTGTGTGGTATCAGCTTGCACAGGATGAAGGCGGTCAAGACAGTTGCTTTGCAGTGGTCGAATATAGCACCGCGGAGCATGCCGAAGAGGTTCAGCAGGTGGCAGATGGCATCACCATCAAGGGGAGCCAAGTCCAGCTGTCCTTCTGCGCCCCAGGAGCGTCAGGGCGAAGCACTCTAGCGGCCCTCATAGCGGCTCAGCGCGTGGTGAGTGGCTTGGTGCTTGGACAATCCGGAGACTGTTTTAACTTTCCAAGTCTGTCGAGTTAGTGGTCATTCCCGGTGCTATTGCTGTTTCCATTACACTGAAGACATCCATGTTTTTCAAATAATAAGTGTATTTTTTAAAAAAAAGCTGACCAAGTGGGGTCTGTAAAACCAAGCCAGAGGTTGAGAGAGGGAGAATTTAAGAAAACATAGTCATCTTGAGTAATTTGTATGTGAGGGTGCAAGTACTGTGTCTGTCTGTGCATGTGTACAAGGACTCTGTGTGTTTTTATGTGGGAGCCCAGAGCTAAGTCAGGCTTCTCTTGATTGCCTTCCTCTATGTATTGAGGCAAGGCTCTCACTGAGTTCCAGCTTGTCCAGCCAGCTTGTCCTGGGGCCCCCGTCTGCTTCCCAAGTGCTGGGATTACAGGAGGCCATCACATCTGCCCAGCTATTCCACGGGTTCTAGGGACCCAAACTTCAGTCTTCACACTGCAAGTGCTCTATCTCTCCAGCCGCTCTCCGGAGTAATTTTTGAAAGACTTCCGTTCTTTCAGCAAATACTTTAGTTGCTGACGGCTGTTAGTTTCCGGTGCCATGCTGCCTTTTTCCAGAAGTGGTCGTAACACAGGTGCCCACAGGGCAGTGTCCACTGTGTGAGCTGAGGAAGACATCTACCTCTTCTGCTCATGTGGCACCCCTCTCATTCCTGTGACTCTCTCTAGCCTGAGGGTCCCTGAGATCTGGATGTTGCCTTCACAGTTTTCACCTCAGCACTCAGCAGAGCCTGTGTTTGATGGTTGAATGAAGGAAGGGCTGGCTGTTCTTTGGAAGAAGTCGGGACAAACTTCTTCATGATGAAGATGGCATTTGAGTCTGACATTAAGGAATGGGTGAGGTGCTGAACCGACATGTGTTGATGGGGGTGGAGGATAGGATTGCCAAATAAATCCAGATTTTGTGTGAGACACGCTCATATTAAAGATTATTCATTGTTTATCTGAACTCCAAGTTTCACTGAACATCCTGTGTTCTTCATTAAATCTGGGGACTGTAAGGAGGCAAGCTGAGTAGTCACTGTAGGCTGAGCGGTGATCTGAGCCAGATTCAATGTTGGCAGAGAGCTAAATGGTCAGGTTGAACCATCTATGTAGAGAGGTATGGCTAGGTGGTGGACTGATGTGGAATAGTCTAAGGACATCAATTGAATTTAGCACTGGGGAACTCATAAGTTATATAAACTAGTGACAGGAGACAGTAAGGCCATGGAAAAGTCAGCCCAAAGTAGTTTAGAGATGAGCAGAAAAGCAGAGAAGGTGGACAGGGCGTGGGAGGCACCTGTTACTGCTCCCCGCCTCCATTCCTCTCTGAGTTCACTTCTGACCCTGTATCCTTTCTTTCTGTTTCCAGAGATAGCATCCTTGGCATCTTTCAAAAGGCACTACCCTTGGTTCACTGTCAGTTTCATTTCCTCTGTTTACGTTGTACCTTTGTTCAACTGGAATTGCCGAGTTTCAGGTTTGCTGAGTTTCCAATTCTGAACCAGTCTATTCATTGACTGCTAATGTCAAGGCACTGTGTCTTCTTAGATATGAAACAGGTGGGGGCTTGGTGCCTCTGCAAATGAGTGGCATATGGCTTTCCTGACTGCTGCAAGTTTTCAGCTCATCCGTCATGGTTGATTGCCTGCTTTCTCCTGCAGCTATCTAAAACTCGTCCTTGTGCATGCCTTTGTCATTCTTTCTGCGAGATGATCGTGGTTCCTGTGGAGATCAGGATTACCTTCAGTCATCCATCTTTCTTCCCTTCACTGCTTGCTTCCTTCTCATCTTAGCATGCACAAGCACTTACTCAGTCCCCAAGATGTACACGGACAGAGGTGTACATCTTCTGGACACCTTCCCTGTTCATAGGAGGAGCCAGGCCTCCTCCTGTACAGGACTTTTAATTCAGAACATGGCTATTCTGGCAAGAGATCACATCCAAAGGTCTTCTAGGTCTGTGTGATCTGCCTGCTAAGAGATCACATCTAAATATTTTGTAGGCCTATGTGATCTGGCTGGAATATAAACACTACTTTAATCCAGGAGACAGAGGCAAGAAGATGTGAATTCAGAGCCAGCCTGGTGTAGAGCAAATTTCAGGTAAAGGAAAGCTTAGATTTAGAGGTGGTGGTACACGCCTCTAACCCCAAACAATGAAGGTAAAGTTAGTTTGTAGAAGGCAGCACCCAAAGTTTGAAAGTGATGTTTAATTGAGTGGCAGAAGTGGAGACAAACCAGAGAAAGATTTGACAGACTAGGATATGCTCAATTCTCACGAAAAGAAAGAGGAAAGGGAGGCTACTTAAGGGGCAATGGAAAAAGGGAGGAGGCAGTTTTGCTGAGATAGTAATAGAGAAACAGGTTACAGAGAAAGAACAAGCTAGACTCAGGTGAAGACTGAATGAGCCAGAGAATGAGAAGGAGCAGGAGATTAGAGCAGATTGCTGGAGTTAGTTTGAGGTCAAACAGCAATTCAGCGCCAAGAGAGAAAGGCCAGATTGAATAAGTCAGCTGGGAGAGGAGTTTGAGCCAGAACATCTGAATTGAACCAGCCAGCCCAGAGCTCAGAAAGAACAAGAAAAGGTGAGCTTATTCAGCAGTAAGTCTCAGAGGCTGCAAATATTCTAGGTCTAGGTTAGACTGTACGGAGGCTAGAAGCTGGGTTAGCAGCCAGAGGCAACAATTGAAACAGGTGAATCAAAGTTCCTTTTGCATCCTCCTAACCATGTTGGGCTCCTGACAGTGTCTCAGGTGGGACTCTTGATGCTCTGCTTTCTTTGTTTTACGTGTTTCACTAGCCCCATCCCATCTGTCATGAATATCTTGTCTTTTTCTTAAGCAAAGCTCTTAGATAGCTGCCTTCACAACTAGTGTTTCTTTAACAGGGCCAATTGTCACCAATTTCTAATCTCCATCTGCTCTCAGACTAATACAGGATAGTGTCCACCTCCTTCAAGAAAGTTACTCTCAAGAAGGGATTTCAATGCATGTAGATATGTTCATATGTGTCCATATGTGTGCATGCATGTGGAAGCCAAAGGTCGGTCGGTATCAGGAGCCTTCCTCAATCCTCAGCCATTCTTTACCTCATTTTTTAGTATATGTGCTGCCGAAGCGAGCACTTTTACCTCATTTTTTGAGGTAGGATCTTTCACTGAACCCGGACCTCACCTGTTGAACTAGGCTGCCTGGCCAGCAAGCACCTGTGGGTGGGCCTGGCTTCCTCTTCCCCAGCCTTCTGTATGGTGTACAACATTGTGCCCAGCCTTTTCTGGTCCTCATGCTTACATGGCCAGCGTTTTACTGCTCAAGCCATCTTACCAGCCTCAACAGGGATCTCATAATATTCAGAGCTGTTAAATATTCTCCAGTGTTTGACTGTGAGATCTCTGTAACATTTATAGCTTCCTCCAGCCGCGAAGCCTGCCACACCATTCTTCTTTTATTCTCTGTGTTCTTGGCCAGCTCAATTGTGCCCCTGAAGGTTGGCATTAGTGGGTTCTGAATTGAGTTTTCCCACTTTCTTCCTCTCATAGACTCCAATAGCTTCTCTTACTGCTTACTAATGATAAATTACACGTGGATGTTGCTGGATGAGTAGATCTGTATTTCTAGGGATTGAAAAGAATTGAGACGTCGTGTTAGTTCAATAGCTCAGTTTTAGCATTTCTAAAGAAATTGCTTTCCTCTTACACTCACTTTTTAGTGTTCTGTAATAACTAGATATGCTATAAAACACAGGCTCAGGGGCTGGAGAGATGGCTGCTCTTCCAAAGGTTCCGAGTTCAATTCCCAGCAGCCACATGGTGGCTCACAGCCATCTATAGTGAGATCTGGTGCCCTCTTCTGGCGTGCATCTGTATATGAAGACATAAAACACCCAAATAAATAAATGTTTAAAAACACACACACACAAAACACAGACTCAGTTATTCATCAACAGCCCAAATACAGCTGTCCCTTTTCACCTGTGTGGTTAGAGTAATGCTCTCCAAGGTCCCCATGCCATTTTTTTTTCCTAATCAATGGGGCACAAAGTAATGGTCTCTTTCCCCTTCGGCTGGATTTTATCACCCCCACCTTTCTGTTCTTTAATGGTGTATACTGAATCTCTGTATGACATATAGAGACCTTCTTAAGCAGGTAGCAAGAATAGTGAGGTAGATAGATAGATAGATAGATAGATAGATAGATAGATAGATAGATAG